GGAAAAACCGGGAATTCCGGGGGAAAAACCGTGAATTCCGGGAATTCCAGGGAGAAAAACTGGGAATTTGGGGGAAAAATCGGGAATTCTGGGGATTTTGGGGGAATTTTGGGGGGATTTTGGGGGATTTTGGGGGTTTTTGGAGCCCCTTGCGCTTCTTCATCTCCCGGCCCGACACAAACCTGGGGAAAAACCGGGAATTCCGGGAATTCCAGGGAGAAAAACCGGGAATTTGGGGGGAAAATCGGGAATTCTGGGGATTTTGGGGGGATTTTTTGGGGGATTTGGGGTTTTTAAGGGTTTTTTCTTAGGCTGATTTTAGGTTTTTTTAGGGTGATTTGGGGTTTTTTGGGGTGTCTGGGGCGGATTTTTTTGGGGTGGTTTTAGGGTTTTTTTGGGGTGATTTGTGGTTTTTTAGGGTTTTTTTTGGGGGGTGGTTTGGGGTTTTTTTGCGTTTCTGGGGCGGATTTTTTTGGGGTGGTTTTAGGGTTTTTTTGGGGTGATTTGCGGTTTTTTAGGGTTTTTTTTTGGGGCGGTTTTAGGGGTTTTTTTGGGGCAGTTTGGGGTTTTTTAGGGGTTTTTTTGGGGGTGGTTTGGGGTTTTTTTGGGGGGTGCTTTTAGGAGTTATTTTGGGGTGGTTTGGGGTTTTTTGGGGTGGTTTTAGTGGTTTTTTTTGGGGTGGTTTGGGGTTTTTTTGGGTGGTTTTAGAGGTTTTTTTGGGGTGATTTGGGGTTTTTTGGGGTGTTTGGGGTGGGTCTTTTTTTGAGGTGCTTTTAGTGATTTTTTGGGGTGATTTGAGGTTTTTTTGGGTTTTTTTGGGGCAGTTTTAATTTTTTTCGTGTTTTTCGGGGGCTTTTTTTTTTTGTTCTCGTCGTGGTTTTGTTTTTGGGGGAATTTCTGGGGTTTTTGGGGTCCCTTCCCCCGTTTTTGGGGTCCTGACCTCTCCTTGTGGCTGCTCAGGGCCCCCAGGAGGCGCCCGCGCCGCTCCGACCTCGGCGTGCCCGAAAGCTGCGGAAAAATTGGGGAGAAAAACCCGGATTTAGGGAAAAAAAACCAATTTGGGGGAAAAAAAAACAATTTTGGGGGAAAAAATCCCCAAAATTTGGGACAAAACCACGAATTTTGGGGAAAAAACCACAAATATTTCAAGGGGAAATTCCAATTTTTGGTTCCAAATTCCCATTTTTGGGTCCAAATTTTCATTTTTGGGTCCAAATTTTCAATTTTGAGCTCCAAATTCCCATTTTTGGGATCCAAATTCCCATTTTTGGACACCAAATTCCCATTTTTGAGCTCCAAATTCCCGTTTTTGGGGTCCAAATCCCCATTTTTGGGTCCAAATTCCCATTTTTGGACTTCAAATCCTGTTTTTTGGGTCAAAATTCCCATTTTTGGGCTCCAATTCCCATTTTTGGGGTCCAACCCAAAAATCAGAGGATTTCCACCCCCCAAAAATTATATTTTTTGTTTCCCTAAAAATCGTGGAATTTTTCCCCCCAAATTAATGTTTTTTCCCTCAAATTCGGATTTTTTCCCCCAAACCTGCGATTTTCCCCCCAAAATCAGGATTTTACCCTCAAAACAGTTTTTTTTCCCCAAAACCCAGGATATTTTCTCCCCCCAAAATCAGGGATTTTTTCCCCAAAAATCAAGATTTTTTTCCCCCCAAAACCTGCAATTTTCCCCCCAAAATCTTGATTTTTTTCCCCCAAAATCAGGATTTTTCCCCCAAAATCAAGGTTTTTCCCCCAACCCCGTGTTTTCCCCAAAACCTGGGATTTTTTTCCCAAAAACCCAAAATTTTTTTCCCAAAAATCAAGATTATTTTTTTCCCACAAACTGGGATTTTTTTCCCCAAAACCTGTGATTTTACCCCAAAAATCGAGATTTTCCCCCCAAAACCTGGGATTTCCCCCCCCCCCAAAATCAGGATTTTTCCCCCCAAAATCAGGGTTTTCCCCTAAAGCCCAGGATTTTCCCCCAAAAATCAGAATTTTTTTCCCCAAACTGGGATCTTTTTCCCCAAAAATCAATTTTTCCCTCCAAAACCTGGAATTTTTCCCCCCAAAATCAGGATTTTTCCCCAAAACTGGGATTTTTTTCCCCAAAAATCCATTTTTTCCTGCAAACCTGGAATTTTTTCCTCCCACAATCAGGATTTTTTTCCCCAAAATCCACGATTTTTCCCCAAAAATTGAGATTTTCCCCCCAAACCTGGATTTTTTTCCCCTCAAATCAGGATTTTTTTCCCCAAAACCGCTGTTTTTTCCCCAAAAATCCTTTTTTTTCCCCCAAACCAGAATTTTTTCCCCCAAACCCAGGATTTTTCCTCCCAAAATCAGGATTTTTCCCAAAAAAATCCGGCTTTTTTTCCC